GAGGTGTAGTCCGGCAGATTTGAGAAAAAGTCCTCGTTCCCGCATACTCGAGCTGTGTTTGTAGAGGCTTCTGGTCACCGGGGTTCCATGTGGGGGAGGCAGGATGCGACGCCTACTCCATCTGGAACTTGCCGGTGATCTCGGCTCTTTTTGGAACCTGTTTTTTCTTTTTTTTTTTTCCTCCGGGATCCCGCACCCTCCATGTGTTCCTTCTCTTATGCTGAACGCTTCCTGAAACACGTTTTAGAGCACGAACCATCCCACAATATTAGATTCCATTATTCTTGATTCTTCTAGCGCAGGAAATGGAGATATCTTGCTCCAGAACACCAGAAAGTGATTATGAATGGGTGAGTAGAGCCAGTGTCTGGACCATTACCCAAAATAGGATCATACAGATGGAGACTTAGGGCTCTAACCACTAGGCACACAGAGCTCTGAGGAGAAAGAAACATCCATGTTCTTTGGAGAGACTCTCTAGAGAAATCCAAGCAGTTAGGAGGAAGCAAAGCACAGGCTATATGGTCAGCGTAGGGACCTTGCAGACCTTTCTCTTTTTTAGAATAACACATTTACCAGGATTTCTTCTCTGGTTGAACAAGAATGAAGTCCTAAATATGCCCCACCCACTCTTTCTATCCTGCCCTGAGTAAAGAATCATGATTCAGTTGTTTCCTACTTTATAGTTTGTTGAAAACAAATGCAAAAACACTTAGTGTGACTCTCACTGGTATGGGAGACTAAAGCTGCTGGGTTCAAGGAAGCAATATGTAGAATCCTGGCACCAGCTAAGCAAGCACCAGGTTGTTTAGCTGTTGGAGTCAAAGCTGTGGAGTCAAAGATGTGGGCACACCACATGTGGTCAAATAGGTACAGAGACCCCTTCTTGCCGTGGTGAATTGTAACCACTGAGTTGTCTTCCAGTATCCCAGCTGTTCTCAAGGTTTCTGTGTGAATGTTAGTGCTCCCACGGTCATGCATGCCCACACACAGCTTCTCTCTCTCTCTCTCTCTCTCTCTCTCTCTCTCTCTCTCTCTCTCTCTCTCTTTCTCTCTCTCTCTCTCTCCCCTCCTCCTTCCCCTCTTCCTCCTCCCTTGATCTCTTAAGAGGTATACACACAGATCACAGGGCAAAGTCAAATAAACCAAGTGTTTTCTAATGCTCATCAGGTCAAATTTTCTACTCATACACCTCTTCTCTGATCTCTTGGAAGATTGTTGCAATATACTCTATGTGATGCCCATGTTCCTAACTCCCGGAGGAGTACTTATAGATGCTAACTGTAAAAAAAAAAATCTAATTAAGGTGTCACAAACACCTAAGATGATTATCTATTTAGGAAAATGTTTAGTGTTTTTCAAGACCACAGTTTTGAGTATATTTAGGTCATTTTTCAAAAAAAATAGAATTTTTTAAAGTTGAGCAAGGTAAGTATAGCTGCAAAAGCTACCAACTCAACACTCTTTTGAATTCATCAACAGTTTTAAGTATTTGGTAGAATCAACCATGAATAATGATCCAGGAAAAACAAAAAGATTAGGTAGTCTGCTCGAGCGGGCTCAGTAACGTCTCCATTGGAGACTTTGTTGTTACTGTGTCTGGCATATCGAATCTGTCACGGGGAGCTTGCCAGGCTCTGCCGTGCAGGCGAGATACTCTCGGTAGCTTGCCGGGCTCTCCGAGAGGGGCGGAGGAATCGAACTCGGGTCGGCCATGTTGGCTGCATGCAAGGCAAATGCCCTATCGCTGTGCTATCGCTCTGACTACTTATCTGAGTCTTAAGACACATATCTTTATGTTTTGTGATAAAGTTTCCCTTTGCTTATTATTTCTTTGTTCTCTGTGCAAATATATTTTGGAGTTTTATTTGAGTTTTGCTTAGTTGCTAGATAAGTTGTTCACTTTGAAAATAGTTGATTATTGGCCATATCTTTTCACTCATTATTTTAGTTTAGGAAAAGTTCATGTGATATTTTAGAATTTTTTTCATATGACTGAAATTTTTTTTAACCAAATGTAGACACATTTAATTGTGCAGACACCAACTGTCTAAAATCACACAAACCTTTACATTACTTAAAATATTGTTCTTTTCCTTGGCCTCTATGTGCTCAAATTTCCCAGAGGGTTGTTTTATTTTCAAATCATGTGAGTAACCAGCTGACTCAACTTCTTTAAAGAGTCTGGGACACATAAAATTGATATCACTCATATGTGACATAGCACTGTAGCACTGTAGCACTGTAGCACTCTCCTCCATTGTTGTTTGATTTGCTCGAGTGGGCCCAGTAACATCTCCATTGTGATACTTGTTGTTACTGTGTTTGGCATATCAGATACGTCATGGGGAATTTGCCAGGCTTTGCCGTGTGGGTGAGATAATCTCGGTAGCTTGCTGGGCTCTCTGAGAGGGGCGGAGAAATAGAACCTGGGTAGGCCGGGTCGGCCACATGCAAGGCAAACACATACCAGAGCAAGGACAGACCTCAGAGGGGGAGAGAACACGACCCCGGCCCCGGCCCTGGCCCCCACCTGGATATGTGACATATACAGAATAAATAAGGATATGAGCAATGTCCATTGATAAGAAACCATGGACACTGGATTAAAGATATGAGAGGGAAGGGTGGAGGGGAGAGAAGGAGTTGTGAAGACACAAGGGGGCAAATGTGTTGGACATAAACACATAAGGGGTGGCCAAGGGAGCATCAGTATGCACCCAACCCATCATTGTCAACCAACAAGGAATGTGTATATGGGTGAGGTGGAGGGATTGTTGAAACAGAGGTGATAGTGGGTCACAGAGAGTTTGATGGTGGTGCTGTTTGGTAAATTATACACTAGGATCATAAATTTAATAACCACTGTAACCTAACCCTACTACTTAAAATATAAAAATGGTAATTAAAGGAAGCAGAATAAATTTAAGAAAACAATAAAATCACAGATATACATACACTAAGATTCAATTACAATATACAGAAATTATGAACATACATTACTGACTAAAGCAAATGAACAAACATTTCAAAGAATATCATCAAAGAAAATGATGATACCAATGTTTCCATAGATTTACCACATAAAGAATCTAAAAATAACTACAGCAAGGAGGAAAATCTTTAAAATTTACACCATGAGGCATTATGCTTAGTTGTAATTTAGGGTTCTCAAGGGCTCTCCTTGATTTACAGGTGGTTTGAATAGATGCTGGGGTAGTCAGTGGGCAGAATCTGTGGCTGACAAGGCGTTTTCACTGGCTTGCATCTAATATTGTCACTGACGAGCATCAGTTGCCTAATGGGAAGAAAGGTCATCCTGTTACTCTGTAGGTTTCCAACTTGGAGCCACTGTTCCTCACATTTCTTTCTCTTTTTTTGTGTTTGGGCATTACACCCATCAATGGTCGAGGGTTACTCCTGGCTCTTCACTCAGGGATCACTCCTGGCAGTGCTTGGAGGACCATATGAGATGCCAGGGATTGAACCTGGGTCAGCTGTGTGTAAGGCAAATGGCTCCCCCTCCCCAATTCACTGCTGTGCTATTGCTCAGGCCACCACCTCACATTCCTTGAGACAAACATTTCCCTACATGTAGCAGTTCTTCATTTTTGGATTCACCAAACTGATAGAGGACAAGGTAAGGGAAAGTGCTGAGTGGGCACAATTAGCCTGAATAAGCCCTCTCTTCTTAGAGTGAAGAATAAGACTCAGAGTAAACTTATCTATGATATCGCTATGGTGCTTTGTTGAGGAAGAAAGTGTAGACAGATCTAGTGGCAAACCAAAATGTTTTTTATTGTCATGGGGATGAGAATAAGGCCAGGGATCCAGCCCAAGACCTCTTACCTGCAAGACAGGTGCTCTGCACCAGAACCATGCCCTCCTGCCAACACCAGTTATACTGTGCATTTGAGAAAGAGGGAAAAAAACCATTTTCAGGACAGCAAGGTAGCTCATAGCTTGAGCACATGATATGTAGGCAAAAGACCCCGGGTCAGTGCCCCGAATATCACTGGGGCAAATCCTGCATGCCAAAATGCCATTTTTACTTTGGAACCGGTGAATGCGTAGGAGAATGAAAAAGTGAATTCTTTATGCTAGCCACTCACTCTTGGACTAGGATAAAGTTCTGAGATTATTGGGGGCAACAGACATAGCCCAATGACCAAGCATATGCCTAGCATGTTAGATGCTCCGAGTTCCATCCCTGGCACCAAATGCCCAGAAGAATGTGGGACACCAGATACCCATCCCAGTTCTGCTGAGGGTGGTCCCTTAAAGAAAGATTACTACCAGAGTGATAGTACAGCAGGTGGGACTCATGCCTCGCATGGGATTGACCTGGGATTGATCCTCATATGTAGCTCTGAGTACCACCAGGAATGAGCTGTAAGCCCTGAATACTAGCAGGTGTGGCTTAAAACAAAGGCATTAAATTGCTTTTCTATACCAGCTTTGGCAGGCTGGAATGATAGAACAGCGGTAGGGCATTTGCCTTGCACACGGCCAGGAAGACCCGGGTTTGATTCTTTTGCTCCTCTCGGAGAGCCCGGCAAGCTACCAAGAGTACCTCACTTACACGGCAAAGCCTGGCAAGCTACCCATGACGTATTCTATATGCCAAACACTGTAACAGCAAGTCTCACAACGGAGATGTTACTGGGCCCATTCGAGCAAATCGATGAACAACGGGAGGACAGAGCTACAGTGCTACAGTAACTTATAGATATTTTATATGAAAATGATAGAACAATTATCTTATGAACATAAAAAGTTTAATCCTCAAAAACCCACACCTTTATTTTAGCATCATTTAAAAATAATGATAGGTCACACCAGGAAGAAATGATTTCTGATCAGCAATAATGGTTTGAAACGTGGACCTTAATGCTCCAACCATATTAGCAGAATGAACATTGGGCCAGAGTGAGATACAGGGTTATGAGAGGCTAGGGACAGTTTTTGTCTCACTTCTCCTCTGCCTGTGTCACTGTGGGTTAAACAAAGCTGCTCCCACTACCATGGTCAGCACCACAGTAGTAGTCGGCCTCATCTTCTGCTTGGATGTTCTGGATGGTCAGAAATCGGTCCAGGCCAGATCCTGATCCCGAGAAGCGATCAGGGATCCCTTCTCCCTTGGATCCTATCTGACCATTAGGACCCACACGCATTACAAACCGGGGACCTTTTCCTGGGCCTTGCTGGTACCATTCCACACCATAGTTACTGTACCCACTGCTCAGGGTACAGGTAAGCTTTACTGAGGTTTTCAGAGAGGCAGATGCTGAAGGCGCTTGAGTCAGAACAGGCTGAGAGAGGGACCCTGAAAACACAGACATCTGTTAAACCCTTTCAAAAGGTCAGCAAAGAAGAACATTACTGCTGTGTGGGGCAGGAAATTTTCTGTAGTTTGTAATGAAGACAAATACTCTCACCTATGCAGTGAAGGAGGAAGGAGAGGAGAAAGAGTGGAGTCCCGGCCATGGTGCAGAAATGCAGGACTCTGTGAGACAGGTTTGTCTCAGGTTTCTTATACCCTCAGACTCAGGGAAAAGCCCCCCACCGCCCCCCCATGCAAATGTGCCCTTCCTCTCTGGTCAATCAACCTCCTTCTGGCCCCTTGGTTCCCTCCCTAGTCTCAAATTTTGCTGCACTGCCTCTGGGTTGATTTTGATAAGAAAATACCCATGGGGATAGTGAGAAATCGGTGGCTGGGTCCAGTAGCACTGAGAAGGGACCAGATGACAGGTGTCTGATTCACTGGCTAACAGCCTCCTCCACATCACTAAGACAAGGTGCACAGCGCCCTCTGCTGCCTCGGATTGATAACATCTTTCACCAGAAAGTTGGTGACTTTCACAGAGGCCCCTGCCTCCCTCAGAGCTTGACCTCCTCCCATTTCTGCACATCAAAGAACAAATTTCTTAATATATGCAGCCACCTACCCCATCTCATTCAACGCTCTTCTCTTTGGTTTTTCCCTGGAATCAATAACAGACCAGCTTGTAAAGAGTGATAAGAGAAGGGGGTGTCTTAGATTAAAAGTACATGGATAAAAGCACAGAAGAGAAGAAAAAGGTAGTTCAACCATGAACCACTTTCTAGGCTGCTCAATAATCAACTTCCCATTTCCCACATGATCCTCACTAGATCTACCTAATAAACTCTAATGAGTGTTTGGAATTACAAAGAAACTTGGCATTTTCTAGGAAAAGGGATCAACAAAATGCACCTTGAAGGTTTTTATTAATTATTTTTTTAATTATCAAAAGATAAATGTTTATTCCTATAGCACAGCCATATGTATGTCTGGGGAACCTTGCAAGAACATATATTTCATTTCATAAATTCTTCTGCATATACAGGCAAAAAGGTTGAGGAATTTATTGTTCTCTAACTTGTTAATCAGTTGTGGGTTCAAAGCCCCAGTTTGGATATACTTATCTTCAAACTATCCCTGAGCACATAGGAAAATATTACCTAAGAAGGATTATGTTGAGAAGAGGTGTTCAAAGTATCCTTGAATCTAAGACAATGAGCTTTAAGTGAGTAGTTATTTCTTCCTGATTTCTGGAACATAACTGGTCTGTTTAGATTTTCCACTTGCTTGTCATTAAATTTTATAAGGTTGCATAACACATGATTTTTCCAACTTTTCTAGGTTCTCCAGTTTACTGGCATGCAGTCATTCATAAAAACATTTAGGATCTTGGTATTTTTGAGATAGTTATTGTAATTTTTGCCTTTTCACTTCTCATTTGATTTATCTAGTTTTTATTTTCTCCCTACCTGAAGGTTAGTCAGATTTGTTTCTTTTGTTCTGTTCTAGACATTTCTCTTATTCTCCGAAGATATAAATTCTCTCATTCAAGAACAGATAAAGGGTTTTCAAATTGTATACTTTGGGGAAAAGGGTGGAAGTATATCTAGAAGTGCTCAGGGCTTGATCCTGGCTCTGTGTTTAGGCAACTGTGGTGCCAGGGTTCAAACCCTGGTTGGGCATGTACAAGCCATGTGCCTTACCCTCTAGACTCTCAGGTGCCATAAAAAATCTACCCTTAAATGCATTTGCTCAGGAATAATTGGCCATCGTAGTTTTTGAATTGGTATCTACTCTTTTAAATTTTAGGCATTGTGATTTTAGGCACTGTTAGTGGTAGTGGTGATGAATAAAACATTTCACATCCTCCACTGCAGTGTCTACCTCCCTCCACCATTGCCCCAGTATTCCCCTTTAGCTTTAGCTTACTGCTAAAGACCAGTTCTCAGTTTCTGTAGTCTTTTCTCACTTGTTCTTTCCTTCCTGTGTTTCCTTGTATTGTCACACAAGTCGCTCTGTGAAGGTCAGTCCCTTACTGATCTTCCATCTGGCTGGTATGTCTAATGCTAAGAGAAGGGTCATTGGGTTGATCTCAATGTATATCAGCGGGTCAAATAGTAGTGACTTAATAAAATTTTCTGCCCTTTCTTTTGATGTTTAAGTGTTTTTTTATTTTTTTTTAATTTTTTGAAAATTTTTATTAGTGAAACACCATGAGTTATAGCTGTAGACTTACAAATTTTTGTGCTTGGGTTTCAGTTATACAATGATCCAGTGCCCATCTCTCCACCAGTGCCCATTCTTCATCAGTTACATTTTTTAAAAAATTTTTGTTAGTGAAACACCTTGAGGTACAGTTGTAGACTTACAAATTTTTGTGCTTGGGTTTCAATTGTACAATGATCAAACACCCATCCCTCCACCAGTGCCCATTTTCCACCACCACGGGTCCCAGTGTCCCTCCCACCCCCCATCATCCAGTCCCACCCTGCCACTGTGGCAGGGTCATTTACTTTCCATTGATCACTTTGCATATAAGGTGGCTTACGCAGCAGCGTGGTTCTGAAAAAATGTCCTGGTACCCTATGCCAGAGCCATGCTTGTAGAAGCTCAAGGTCACGGGGATTCCATCTGGAGAAGGTGGGATGGCAGCACCTACCCCATCTGGGACCTCCCGGAGATATTGGCTCTGTTTGGGGCCTGGAGCATTCTTCCTACATGTTTGTTTTTAATCAGGAACTTTTATTGCTTAAAGAAAAACAGTTTGTGTAATTTTTGCTGCTTGAATCATTAGAATGGAGACTTCAATGAACATACTCCTAAAGGAAAATTAATTTGTGAGAACAAAAGAAATAAAAACAAAACAAACAAACAAAACCCTTTATCTGTTCTTGAATGAGAGAATTTATATTTTCCTCTTTAGGAAACCATTTTGCAAATTGTTATATGGAACTAAAGAATTTTGCATATTCAGTTCATTCAAAATACACATCAATAATCACAGTACAGGTATTATCACTACACTACATTGTACTCTGATTCTAATTCCTTTATTATAGTTAGTTTCTTTAAATTAATTTTTTATATTCTAATTTCTAGAACCTTTTTTAAAAATATTTTAATTTTTATTAGTAAAACAAGGTGAGATACAGTTGTAGACTTACAAATTCAAATTTTTGAGCTTGGGTCTCAGTTATACAATGATTGAGTACCCATCCATCCACCGGTGCCCATTACCACCACCAATGCGTCCAGCATCCCTCCCACCACCACGCCCCCCATCCCACCCCACCCTTGTGGCAGGGCATTCCCATTGGATCTCACTCTCCTTTTCGGTGCTGTGGTTTGCAAAAGAGGCATTGAGTGGCTATCATGTTCGGTCTATAGTCGATTTTCAGTATGCGTCTTTCACCCTGGGAGGGTCCTCCCAACACCCTTTGCATCGTGCTCCCCTCTCTATCTGGGCTGCCTTCTCCCTCAGCATGTGAGGCTGGCCTTCAAACCATGGAGTAAACCTCCTGGTACTTATCTCGGTTATTCTTGGGTGTTAGTCTCCCCATTTGTTACTTTATATTCCCCAGATGAACGCAATCTTTCTATGTCTGTCCTCTCTTTCTGACTCATTTCACTTAGCACGATACTTTCCATGTAGTACCAGTTGTATGTAAATTTCATGACTGCATCTTTTCTAAAACCTACATAGTACTACATTGTGTAGATGTACCAAAGTTTCTTTAAGCAGTCATCTCTTCTCGGGCACTCGGATTTTTTCCAGATTTTGGCTACTGTGAACAGTGCAGCAGTGAACATAGAAGTGCAGATTTCGACTATACTTTTTTGTCTTGCAGGAATATATTCCCAGGAGTGGTATTGCAGGGTGAAATGTGAGCTCAAATTCTAAATTTTTGATGATCGTCCATACTGTTTTCCAAAAGTGCTGAACCAGTCGGCATTCCCACCAGCAGTGAAAGAAAGTCACTTCCTCACCACATCCATGCCACACCGGTTGCTTTTGTTCTTTTGGTTGTGGGTCAGTCTCTGTGGTGTGAGATGATATTTCATTGTTGTTTTGATCTGCATCTCCCTGATGTTTAGTGATGTAGAGCATTTTCTCATGTGCCTTTTAGTCATTCAGATTTCTTCTTTGGAGAAGTTTCTGTTCATTTTATCACTGCATTTTTTGATGGGGTAGATGTTTTCTTCTTGTGGGTTCAACCAGTTCTTTGTATATCCTTGATATCAACTCTTTATCAGATGGGTATTGGGTTAATATCCTTTCCCATTCTGTAGATTGTCTTTGTATTCTGGTTATTTTATCTTTTGAGGTGCAGAAGCTTCTAAATTTAAGATAGTCCCGTTTGTTTATCTCTGTTTCCATTTGGTTGTTCAGTGGAGTGTCGTCTTTGAAGATACCATTAGCCTCAATATCTTGGAGGGTTTTGCCGACCTTCTTTTCAATGTATCTTATGGATTTTTGCCTGATGTTGAGATCTTTAATCTATTTTGATCTGACTTTTGTGCATGGTATTAAGTCGAGGTCTAAGTCCATTTTTTTTCATGTGGTTGTCCAGTTATGCCAGCACCATTTGTTGAAGAGGTTTTCCTTGTTCCACTTCACATTTCTTATTCCCTAGTCAAAGATTAGATGTTCATACTTTTGGGGTTGTGTGTACGGATATTCCACCCTATTCCATTGGTCTATGGCCCTGGATTTGTTCCAGTACCATGCTGTTTTAATTATTACCGCTTTGTAGTAGAATTTGAGGTTGGGGAGGGAGTGCCTCCCCATGTCTTTTTCACAAGAATTGCTTTAGCTATTCGTTGGCGTTTGTTGATCCATATGAATTTCAGGAGTGCTTGATCTATTTCTTTGAATAATTTCATGGGTATCCTTATAGGGATCGCATTGAATCTATATAATGCTTTCGGGAGTATTGCCATTTTGACGATGTTGATTCTTCCTATCCATGAGCAGGGGATATGTTTCCATTTCCCCGTGTTCTCTTTTATTTCATGGAGTAGCATTTTGTAGTTTTCATTGAAGAGATCCTTTACCTCTTTAGTCATACTGATTCCAAGGTATTGGATTTTCTGGGGCACAATTTTGAACGGGATTATTTTTTTCATGTGCTTTCCTCTCTCTCATTATTTGCATAAAGGAAGG